ACCACCACCACCACCAGTCTAGCTGAAATAAGGGCGGATTTATGCTTTCATTCCAAATTGTGACCCAATCATCTAAATGTCACAACAGTAATTGGGACTCATCAGACCAGGCAACATTTTCCGGTCTTCTGATGTCCAGTTTTGATGAGCCCGTTTGAACTGTAGTCTCAGTTTCCGGTTCTTAGCTGACAGGAGTAGCACCCGGTGTTTTGGAAGTACATTTAGGTGTACCTAATAAAGTGCATGGAAGTACTGTCTCTTATTGCTTTTTTAAGATTAAAAATAGGTGGTTTTATTTTACACCTTGACCACAATTGAGTAATCTGAGTGTGAATTAAAAAAGCACCGCATCAGTTAAACATTCATGTCTCTCTCACCCCCCCCCCCCATCACTCCGTCTAGGTGCTTTGTTGCTGGGTGGTTTCCTGTACAGCTGGCAGTTTCCCCACTTCAACGCCCTCAGCTGGAACTTGAGGGAAGACTACTCCCGTGGTGGCTATCGAATGATGTCCGTCACCCACCCTGCCATGTGCAAGCGGGTGGCCCTACGGCACAGCCTCGGTCTGATCGGTCTGTCAACTTTAGCGCCCGTGCTGGATGTCACCACCTGGACCTTCCCCGTCATCTCCTTACCCATCAACCTGTACATCAGCTACCTGGCCTTCCGGTTCTACCACAAGGGAGACCGCAGCAGCGCCCGAAAGCTGTTCTTTTGCAGCCTCTGGCACCTGCCCATGCTGCTGCTGCTGGCACTCACTTGTAAAAAGTATAGCAGTAATCAGGAGGGCGCCGCTCTACCTCGGGCCTTTTTACCCCTCACATTTCCAGCCAGCTAATTTCATAGATAACCCATGACATCAAAGACAGCTGTGGGACCCTCATTTTAACCACAATACTCCTTTAGTGTCTTACTTCAGTTGGATGGGAATGTGATCGGTGCTGACTTCATATCAGGACATGAGCTGGAAGCGGTAGCTGAATTACAGAAAACACACTGAATTATTACATCAGGTTGTAATCATTTGAATGTGTGTGTACTTTATATATATATTCTGTATTTATTTATAACGGGGCCCACTAGTTGATCTCTCTTTTACATGACTGATGTTGACATACTGTAGAGTATAAATTGTACAAATGCAAAACTCAAATCATCAAACGAAATGTTTTATTTTCAGTCAGTGTGTATAAAAACAGGACGAATCAAAGTTTATCCGGCAGCTGCAGCATAGCAGTTATGTCGATTTTTGCTCGACTTTCACTTGATCCCTGATACTTGACGGTTAATAGGCCTTGTTGCGTTTTGCTTTTACACTGATGGGTCTCGATTCGTTAACACGATGCTTTAATTCCACATGGTTTGCCTGCACCAAAACAAAGGGAAGGCTTTCACCCCTGTAAGGAACAAGGGCAAATGCTCTCTGACAATAAATACGCCATGATCGTGATTCTGTCTTTTGTGTCATCATTTACTGTGTGTTAATAACTGTGCATGCAGTTGGTTTCTCTATACATATTTAAAGAACACACACGAACTGCTAGCACACCTCGTTAGGTGTTGCTGCCTGCATGATGTATGGATTTAGGTTTCAATTAAAGCCTTAGTGGGTATGCTCACTTTCAGAACAAATCGCCATCCCTCCAATGAGCTCCATTTAGCAGACCACCTCTGCACCTGTCAGTCAGCATGTGCTCCCCTTCCGCCTTTTACCCCTAGTTTTGGTATTTGGTTACATTTCCATCACCGCAGTCGGTGAAACAAGTGCCCCCTTCCTCTCGCTGCCATCCTCCTGCCATAAAAGGGGGCTGTAGGATTTAGCCGTGGCCGAGAGACCTGAAACGGCTCGACATCCTCGTAAAGCGCCTGACCGGATACAGAGTTTCATATCAGAGGGCTGAAGGAGAGCGATTGAGCCAGCTGCTACAGTTGGGGTGGGGTGAGGGGGCACACAACCTGTGTGGAGATTGAATGTCTTTACCAAACCTCACGGCTCAAAGTGATGGCCTGTTGTGGTTTACACGTGTTCATATAGAGATCGAGTGGTGAACCTCGCCTTGTACCATCAGGCAAGATAGTTGAAGTCTTATTGCTTTTTGTGTTATTATGTCCAGCCGTTGCTCCGAGTATAGAACAGTTTTTGAGTTTCTCTTCAGATTTAAGGTAAAAGGAAAAGAAAAATGTTTTGTTTAAATCATAGTAATTACCACTGAAAATCTAGGGAAAGTTCATTCTCAGGAGGAAATGTATAGAAGCTATTTAAAATTGCAGAAAATTAAAATAAACCTACTAGCTAGATTTTAAAAGAACTTTATTGGTTTCTCAGCAAAATTATATATGTGCCCGACTCTTTTTTTTTTCATTCCTGTGTGTCACCTTAAATATAATTTCAAATATTTGATTGTATCCAATAATGTAAGTTCTGTAGGGTTTAATTGCTGTAGCTTTAATGGAGGGTGGTTTTAAGGAGACTTTATTGTGGTAAAACTTACAGTAGACATAAAAAAAGAAAAGACTGTTCAAAGCAGGAGAATTAAGATGTCTAAAGCGAAGCTAGAGCAGCTCTTTAAGTATTTGATTTCCAAGGACACCACAAGCTTCTGTTAGTAATAATACTTTACATAAAAGCTGACTCCTATATTACATAATAGAGTACATAAAAGCTGACTCCTATGTTACGGGGCATTTTAAACTTTAGATTTATCACATTTACTCAAATGTAGAATGAAGAAAAACTTCAAAAAGGCTTTGTCTATTATTATTTTATAAGTCAACAATATTTTATGAGTACTCTTCTCCCTTATTTCACTCCTCTCCATGCATAAAAACATGGAGGTCTCTCTTCTTCCCCATTGCTGATATCAGCCATTAAATCATTCATGTGATTTGCCAGTTCAGCGCGAGTGGGAGCTTTCATGCCAGAGTCAACAAAGTGAAGAGCGAAATATGCATCTGTAAACAGGGGAGACTCCCTGAGCAGCAATCTGCAGTCCAGCCCGGTGCAGAAAGCTTTCATATCCAGACTGAGACTCGGATCAGAGGAGGAGGGAAACGCTGTGCAACAGCTCGGATTCCAGGACTCTTCATACTCTTCAAGCGCAGAAATCTCAGGATGAAGGATGACCTCTGGCCTCTTTTCAAAGGTTGGTTGTTACAAAACAGAATCCAAATAGCTGCATTAATCCTAAAGAAATATTTAGAGTGAAACTATACATCCAGCGCAGTAAAACTACATCCAAAAAGTCCCCGCAGGAATATGCTATTAGAGTAAAAAGTGACTCTGATGCCATGGGGAGAAAATATTCAGTAGGCTACGATAAACTCGCCGTGGAGCATCAACACAAGCAACAGGTCCTTTTACTGCAATGCCATATTTTTTTCCACCAGGAAAATTACTCATATTTATATATTTAAAAAAATAGATCTGCTCTTAGAAATGCTCTGTTTGTGCGTCACGTTGCGGGCTCGGGATGATTATATTATCTTCAGTTCTTATTACAATTCAGGCCGTTGTTGCGACGTGGCTTTGACTCTTGCAGTCAAAACTTTAGGGGGGAAATGAATCGTGCTTGTTCGTGTGTAATAACACGCATGAAAAAGAAGGCTGCACAAATCATTAAAAAAAACCCCACAATAGTTTATCAGTGGGTTGGCTGTTTCATAAAAGGGGCTAAAATACCGCGAGGTTTAAATCATCGATCTGTTTTGAGTCATCTCCAATCGAAAAGCACTCGGTGTCCCTGTTCTCCTCTCTTTTTCTCTAAAATGAAAATTTAATGCATGTTTCCGATACTCGATGCGTTTTATTTTCTGAGTTTGCTGAGCTTTGGAAGTTCTCAGATAAAAAACAAAATCATAATAAAAAATAAATAAATAAAATAAAAAGCATGCCTTGGTTTGGAAGATGGCTGAACTATGACCAAAAAACCTCTCCAAACAAACTATATTTTAAAAGTTTGCCTACATTAATGCGAGGGATACTTTTTTTCAAGAATAAATTAATAAAGACACCTTCATGGCATACTTTCTTTAAAAGTAAAATAAATAAATAAACACACGAAAAAAAGATTAATAAATGCAGATTAAAATCGTGATTTTCTGCTTCTCAAGCTTTTGTCAGAAGCAGGATATTAGAATAACAAAGCCCGGGAGAGCACTCATGTTGGATTATCGAAGTATTGTTTCCTGCTTTGCATCGTTAATTAACATGCTGAGTACTGAAAAAACTGCAAAACTAAGTTGGAGAACTAATCAAAGTTATTGTAATGCGCGAAAAAAAATCCAATTAAGACACACGTTTAATACAAAGGAAATATACCTGGGAGTTATAGGCTAACTATTATTATTATTATTATTATTAGTAGTAGTATTATTGTTGTTGTTGTTGTTGTTGTTATTATTTAGTATGTCATTGTTAATAGGTTCTATTGCTCTTTATGGGGGGGGAGGATTGAAATTTTTGATAATATGTACAAAATATCAACTAAATAATGAAGTAACGCTTCCTGTTTCCAGTTCTAACCGCCAGCACTGTGCCCTCCTCATTTCTTCGCATTCACTCACAGTCTGTGTCATTCAAATTATGTGGTTTGTGAACTGAGATTATTTTTGCACTGTTTATGTAGCCTATAGACATTTTTTCACCACCATTTTTTCATATTTCTGACAACATTAGCTTTGGAATTCGTAGTTGGAAAAAAAAACATTTTGGAAATAGATGGGGGAAAAAACTGTGTGAACGATGAGTGAAACATTTAAAACTTCAGCTAATTGAACTCTTTGCCCGGTGTGAAAGTTTTCCAAACTCTCAGCAGAGTCCCGCACACACGCCTCATTTCCATACCCAGGATCCCACGGCCGGACTCGCCCATGCTCCCACCTGATTGGCCCGCTTGTATCAACATAAGCCTTGCATATTTATCTCCCTCGCGGCTATTGGCCGTTGCCGCCGTCATTCTCGCGCGCGTCTCTGTATAAGGTCTCGCGCTCACCCAGGAGCTCGCGCAAACCTGAGATGAGGCTCACGCGGGGCTGTGCTGCGCCTGTCGCAACTCAACACTTTCCCCAAATTTAAGCACCCTTGTGATTATCGTTTCCTCCATGCCTTCTCATTCCTGGATGCACCGATCCATCCGCTTTTATTTAGGCTAGTTTATTTGTTTGTTTTATTTGTAGGGTTTATTTATTTTTAGTTTTTTTCATGAGCATGTGCTTAATTTTGCAAGGATTGCAAAGGTGCCACCGGGAGTGAGTTAGGCAATATGCGCCGCTGGGATATGGTTTTCAACCGAAAGGCTTATGGAATATAGCCTGATTTTCCACAACCTGTATGCCTTCTGGTCCAGCCCCGTGAAGAAGAAACTAATACTGCTCAGCATCATGTTTTTAATCTGGGTATACATGCTGTACTCATGCGTGGGCTACTGTTCCACCATGCCAAGTTTGGTCGTGGAGAGTTACCGGGGCAAGGAGACTGGTTCTGCGGTGGGCAAGAGGACAGAGAGCAGCAGGACGGACCTGGTGTCCAGACTGCTGGCCAAACCGCAGCCCTGGGAGGATATAGAGAGTGACTATGAGGAGCCGTCCATCAGGACCGCTGCGTCCAGAGACCTGCTCAATAACGAGCTGGACTCTGACAGAGCCGAAGACTGGGACGAGATGCACGGGGAGCACCAAAGAGCCCCGGAGCCCAGCGCCATGTCCAGCTTCTCCAACGGCTCCGGGAGCAAGAAGCTGCCGCAGGCGATCATCATCGGTGTGAAGAAAGGAGGGACCCGGGCTCTGCTGGAGTTTCTCCGGGTCCATCCTGACATCAGAGCCGTGGGAGCGGAGCCTCACTTCTTCGACCGCAACTATGACAACGGGCTGCAGTGGTACAGGTAAAACTAATCACCGGGCGTTTGTTTATCTGGATGCAGGGCGAATACACTTTTCCGGGGGAAGAAACTGTACGAAAGAATTTGCAATGCAGTGCAGAACAGCGATGCTGAATTTATTTAGTAAGCCAGACAAACAAGGGTCGGAAAGGCTGTAGATTTTCTTTAAAGTGCGTCAGATTTAGAGGTTGCACACAATTTTTTGTAAGCTTGTTCATTTTTCAATCCAACAACATTTAAGTCATTTTTCTTTTTTTAAACACAGCTTAATCTATTTACTCATAAATTGATTTATATGTCACTCATTTGGAGCCCATCAAAGCACACCAAATTCTAACAATTATCCAGCAGGTTTTGAGTTTATTTCACAACTTAAACCTTTAAATAAACACACGGGTTGTTACCTCCGCTTTGTTCTGTATGTTTACGTCCTTTTGGATGTCGGCAGCACAGATTAGGCATTTTTAATTAACTGTTAATTTTGACGATTAATGGCTTGCTTTTTTCCCCCTTCCATCGCGTGCGTAATTTTGTTTTGAAAGAATCGAAGAATTGAAAGCGCATTATGTAGCCTGATAGAGATTACGGTGAGATTGGCGTGTTTCTGCGATGTGCAGTGATCTCTGTTGGACACAGTGCAATATTGCACCTCCACGGGGATGCGTACTCAGGCTTGTATGTCAGATTCAAACCTACTTTTTCAGTTTCTTTGATTGAGTCGTGTTATTTTACGACCAAGGAGAGGTTTTAATTAAATTATTTCTCATTTATTACGTTTGTTCGGGGTACAGTCAGGTCCTGACCGACCTTTCTCCGTCGCTTATAGTGAGCAAATACGGACAAATTTCATACTACTCAGCTACAACGCCTTGTGAAAAGAGTCTCGAAGCACAATTCAAGAAAATCTGACCAACCTCACTGTGTTAAGACCCAGTTAAGAAAAAGGCAAAAAATCAGTTGATTTGTTAGATCAGGTTTGGAAAATTAAAAAAATCTCAATATTATTACATGTTTGTCCCGTGAAATATTTTACCTAGTAGTGTTTGTTGCTCTGAAAGGGGTTCAGCTATTGTTATGTCAATGGGCTTAATGCAAGTAAATGGCATGTAAAAGACAATGAAAGGATTCTTTATAGAACAAAAGCCATTTAACATCTTCAGAGGTCCAGTCTGAGATTATCCTGGTCACTTAAGTGTTAATATAAGGAGCTGAGGGACTATTGAGCTTAATGACCATACTTGGCAGGTCACAGCACAGACAGACTTAAAAATATATTCTAATACTAGTTTTACACATATTTTGTTTCGTTTTAGTTATATTTTACTTATCTTATTTTTATCAGTGCTCAGGTATTTTTTTAAGCTATTTTTAAAATGCAGGTAAAGTTCCAGCTGTTCATTTACCAATGGTCAACTGATTTTATTGATTTATTATCATTTACTAATTGATAAAATGACACCTACAAATGCAATGTTATTGTTTACGTTATAATCACGCTTTCAAAAACATTTACCCAATGTGGTTAATTACCATCTTTATTTATTTATTTTTTTAAGTTTAAGTTTTGTATGAATATAAAAAAAGCAAAGTTCATCAAAAGATTTTACACTTTAAATTGTGATCACGTCTTTGTGATTTGTTTTTCATGTGCTCGCTTTGATAGAATCATTGATTTATTGCAGCCAGATTAACTGGTTTGGGAAGGCGGTTATTTAACTGACTTCCAGCGACTGCATGCCCAACTTTTCTTGTATGGGGAAATGTGGAAAAGTACAGTCAGCTTTTAGACTATGAAATTCAATACTTTTTCAAAACCATGTAAAGAAATCAGGACTCAAGGTTTTGTGATAGAATTTTATTATTTGTTGATTATTTTGCATTGGAAACACAAGCTATTCGACAGCATTGGAGCAGTGTACACTCCACATTATTTTTTGTGATAAAGGCGTTTTATGCTTTGGAGGCACATCTAAACAGTGCTTATGTTAAACAAAAATCCATGAACTTTTTGTTCAAGTTCATTCAGATTGGTAACAGCAAAACCTGTTATGAAATACTTCTATTAAAGAACTGCAGTGAGGAGTGAACATTACAGTGAAACAGCTGGTGTAAGCAGTCCCTGTAGTGAAAAAAAGGGTTTCTTTTTCGAGGGTGAGGATGGACAGAGAAGGGAAATTATACTTAATTCATTGCTGATCCCCCTCACTGTCCCATTAGAATAAAATACTGGAGACGATTTGGCAATTTGGGAGGGGAATACTGACATTTTCCAGACAGAAGCAAAATTGTGTGGCATTGAAATATTTTCTGTGGGAATGTGATCAGAGATCATGGTCATTTATGGAGACAGTTATGTGTGTGTGTTTGTGTCTGAGTTGTGTAACGTACCTCTCATTGTTTGTTGATTTGCACAATCTCCCTGTCATGCACCATTGTAACTAGCTTGCACCATCCTCGCCTCCCCCAATGGGCACGCATTTAGCGTTGGAATTCCACCAAGTAAATGCAGCCGCAGAGAGAGATAGAGAGAGCAGAAAAGACTCGGGCAGGCAGCGGGAAGAGAAGTTTCAAAATGAAAGGAGGTGGAGATAACAAGTCCTTTTGTGGATTTCTGATGTTCTTTGACAGTTTTTAGTTGTGCCAAAGACAAACACATGATTCATGCTTTTGACCGAGGGGTCCTTGTATCAGGAGGTACACATTTTCGCAGTGAGGTCATGCATGAACTAGCCCCGACGAACACACACGCACACACACACAGAAAGAGTGACTCAGAATTAAGCAGGCCACTGTGACTGAATGTGAAGAGGAACATTGGTTCTTTATTTTCTATTTGCACCTGTTCCCTGGAGTAGTGTAAGCGAAACCGGTGTTATCTGATAATAATTTTAAAAACATGTATGCTTCTCTATAGCACACACATTAATGGCATAATTGCAGTAAGGTCATTCATAAAATAAAAAACTAATAGCTCCCAAAGAATAAGCACAGGGAAAACAGTGCAAGTGCTTTTTTTAAATTAACCACTTTCATTTTTGTGTGATTTTTCACAGACTGGTGTAGAACAAAGATAATTAGCAAGCAAACGTTTGTAACTGTGTTTCACTTGATGGAATAAAACAATCAGAGAGAAGTGACAGGAACGCTCATAAAAAGTTGGAGTGGTTTGGCTTTTTTGAGAGATTATAGAAGTTTGTATTGAAGTTTTTAAGAAACTGCGAATAGCTTAAATCAGTTTTTTCCCTCAGTTTGTATGATCTTGTATGTCACCTTGAAACATGCTTTAACTCATGCACATTAGCTGAAGGCCTCTCTCCTTCCACACCGACTTTGTTTTCTTCAACTTGCAGTATTTTATTTATTCCTAACTCTTGTTGACTACAGTCCTCATCCCGCCCTGTCAGTCTGTGGTGCATATTGCTCTCTTCATATCCCATTTAGCCGTATTTGCTATGAAGGGGCTTTGATATGTAATTACTGTGCTGTGGTTTTGCTGTCGTGTCGCGGGCTCTGGTCTTAGCTCACTGTCAGGCCCAGGCACTGTTGACGCTGTCGCTCCTCCCTCGGAGTGGCTTTAGCATTAAACGAGAAGCTGTACACATGTCGGGCAGGGTGCAGTAACATAGTTTACGGCCATATAGTGGTGTGTGTCATAGGTTTTCATATTGTGGTGTTAACTTGTGCTATTACTAAGCTCGTTTTAATTAGAACCTATCAGAGGCTGTCAGCTGTTTGTTCTCCGCATGAGAATTTTTAAAAAGGTTTGCTTCTGGTTGTGAGTTTAAAGAAGTGGTGTGTCGAAGTAAAGTAATATAACAGTTGGATCGCACACTTCATGTGATTTGCAATCAAAGGTGATTCCAGTTCTGTAGAGATTGTTCTGTCTGAATGGGTGCCTTCCCTGAGCAGGATGTCTCGCTGGTCAACCTTTGTATCGAGTCTGTGATAAAACACCGTGGAGGTAAACGGACTTAAAAAGCAGTGTCAGTAAAAGCTACTTACAGCACCACAAAAGGACAAGTGGAGCATTGTTGAAAGGGGAACTTCCTTTAAAAAAAATGAAAAGAAACCAAGTTCCTCTATCAGACTTAGGATGCTTGCGGAAGTCTGCACTGTTTGAAAGCCGTTATTTATCTCTACCCCCACTGCTAGTTCTTGAGGTGGAGTCAGACTGCATCTCTTGACCATGTCAGAGACGGTTCTGGATGGGTGCACGTCCTTTATCTGCTCGCCACAGGGGAGCTCCTATTTCCATGTAGGTGACCCATCCACTTTCTGTTGCCACTGACCTCACCCTCCTTTCTTCCTCTGAATGGCCAAAAGGGCCACCTGGTTCTATAGAGCATCATTTGACCAACAAAACATCGAGTGCTAATGTTTGCATACACGGGATGTTTTAAGGAAAGTCAGTGGGTACGTGGAAGTGTTGTTCATTCAATACATACAGCGTTATTGTAATAGGCTCAGCTGTGAAACCACAAATAATCTTCAGTTGATGTCACAGAAGACTGAAACTGTCAGACATCATACACAAATGTCTCCATGGCCTGACCCCTCTGGGATAGCCAGTATTGATTGGTCAGGCTTGATTGGAGGTAATGTGTAGAGGTGGGTTAAGAGCCTTTGACTGAGGTCAGACCCACGTCTGCTTGCTGACAGGGTCTGTGTGTTGACCATCTGCAGAGCTACAGAAAGCTGCTGGAAGCTACAAGCCCCACAGGGGATCTTACAACGCTTCATAAACAATCGCACGACAGCAGAAAACCTACTGAGTTATGTACAGGAAGACTTAAAAAAAACATTATTTTTAAACTGTGTTTGATAAAAATCAAGTACTGAAAGTTTAAGTGGCTCTCATTCAGATGGAGCTGCAGTAAAGACAATGCCAGATTCATGATTAGATACTTTGGCCCTCTGATTGTTTCCTGATTCCTGGAACTCCACAGTTCCTCTGGGAATGAGCGCCCGGCCAGCCAACCGTACAGCTGACAGCAGGTTCACAT